AAGACGTGAAGACAGGTCTTCATCCACATCCGAGGGAACGACTTGGGTATTTTGTCCAAGTCAATTTCATTCAGCGGTGGTAGTGACGGTTCCGCTATACTAGCTGCGGGACGGGTGAGTTCCAGACGCAGCTGCTGTAGCGCCGGCAGTCGGGAGAACCAGTCCCCGGCGTCTCCACCGAAGATGCGTGCTTGCGTGATGACGAACTGGCCGTACTTGAGGATGATTTCGCGGCGTGAAACTGGTGGGTATAGCCGATACCGCTCGCCCCATGGCGTGATTTCTTCCCTGACGCAGCCCCTTCGAGACCGCAACAACTCGCATGCTTTGGAGTACTGCGAGCGAGAGCCACTATCTGCGTGTTGACCGTGCACATGTTGGTCTGCTGCAAGCGTTACGCTGGTTATGGCCTGGCGGTTGACACGATCAGTGCTGCCGTCTTCGGATTCCTCAGAAGGGATGTTGCCGTAACCGGTAGAAGCGTTAGTGCTTTCGCGTCCCGAACCATTACTCTCGCTAGACACGATGGCATGGGCAGCGATGATCTCGGGGACGAGCGAAGGCTCTCTGTGTCCGAATTGAATCAAGTTGATTAACTCCTCGAGATGCAGTGTGGGTTGTATTTGAAGTGTTTTGAGCAAGCGAGTGCACACATCGAAACGCCGCTTTTCCTCACCGAACAATTTCTTATAACGGCCAGCAGGCTCCTCAAGCCTGTAGTACACACCACCGCGAGAACGGAGCCACATGGCAGGACAGTCGAAGGGGCGTTGACCATATTCCAACACCAGTTCTTCCAAATACGCAACAACCGGGTAAGGCGCCAAGGCCCCCATGGCCGTGTAGTCGCGCCGCCGTTTACTCTTTAAAATGCTCTTCACCTGCTGTGCTCCCCGGTCAGTCAGAGCGTCCACCGGGATCAAGTGCCCGAAGAGCGTCAACGGCTGAGATTTAGCAGCACTCTGATTTATATGCGAAATCCGCTGTAGACGCTCTCCCTTATGGTTATATACGAGGAAGACCAAGATATACCGACACTTACGACCCAGGTCGTCCACCATCGTGTAATCCGCCGGCACTGACTCCTCTGGATAATGCTCCTCTCCGTACTTGGAGACGGGAATAACATTCGCCGGAGCTTTGGGATGACGAGGCTTAGAACTCGGATATACCCACCGGTGTAAGGCGTCAGTGGAGCCTTCCATCAGACAATATCGCCGGCTAATAAATAAAAACCCGTGAGCGAAATCTGGCCATCATCGTGCTGCCACCCGCCGACAAGAAAAAGAAGATCAGTTTGGTCAGTCTGCTCGATTAATAGATTGATTAATGTGTGCGGTGTGCTGTGTTACAAATACACGCACGGAATATGAAAAAACTGTTTGCGGGGTATGGTTATTCGGGACCGGGAGCTACCCTTGTTTGCTTCTTCTTCTGAGCACAGTCTACTTTGTATAGAAGTGGAACTAGAGGTCTGAGTAAGAAGACGTTAAGAGCGAGCGTACGGGTCGGAGTCGTGGGCACGAGTCCCAGTTGCGGGCTATCGTGCCAACGGCGGCAAAATCGGCATTTGAGGGAAGATGGTGAATGGTTCATAATCGTCTGGCGCTTGTGTGCTATTGACCACGGCGGAGGACCAGAGCCAGTCGCAGCCAGGGGCGTAGGGTTTGGCGGCTTGCTGTTGAGGGTTGAGAGACCAGTAGTCGGACAAGGGTTTCGGGTCAAAGACGTGAAGACAGGTCTTCATCCACATCCGAGGGAACGACTTGGGTGTTTTGTCCAAGTCAATATCATTCAGCGGTGGTAGTGACGGTTCCGCTATACTAGCTGCGGGACGGGTGAGTTCCAGACGCAGCTGCTGTAGCGCCGGCAGCCGGGAGAACCAGTCTCGTTCCTCTCAAGCCGTTCGGCCTTGATTCTCAGGACGGCCAAGGAGGTTATCCGTTCGGCTCGCAGCTTCGATGCCATCCACGGAGGATACGCCGCAAGCGCCGCATCGATGAGGTGGGAGCGGAGGTAGGGAAAAGGGCTTCTTCCAGCGCCTGCTGAGCCGCACCATTCGGCGTATGCGTTCGGAAAGAACGTCGTAGCCTTCCACTTCGGTCTT